TGGCCATCATTGTATTCCTCAAGTGCTCCCAGTTCTTAACTTAAACCAGACACAGACACACACACACTCAGATATCAGTAAACATCACTTCAAAACTCCCAGACCTTATCTCTCTCCTAGTGTGCCTCCTTATATATGAACTGATCAGTTAAAAGAAAGCATGGCCTGAAGGAAGAAAGACAAGTTCATAAAAAAATATTTCCAACTACACATAAAAGGGTTTTTACACGGTTTACTGGATTCTTCAAACTATCAAATCAATGTACATTTCAAATTTAAGTACTGTTTTATTTTTCAAATACATACGTGATTGTTTGTAGCACATAAAACCCCCCACAATGTTGTGTTTAGCCATTTGGTTAATTTGGCATCTGATCTCCTTTTTTTTCTTAATTATTTTCCATCTGTTCAGCTGTCCTGTATGTCTTGTGTTTAAAGTGAAGGAAGGTCTGCTGTTTGGGACAATATGTGCTGGTCTTCTGGATTACAAGCACCGCAGTGCTCAGTCTGAAATTTTTACTCATAACATGAAAATCCTTTGACTTTGAATCTTATATGCAACAATCGTTGACGATTCCACAGCTTTCCAAAGTCATACTGGTTCAAGTCTTTACTAATTTTATTTTATTTTCCCAAAGAGAACAGATAGGCCTGTTTGTTGAATGACAGGACTTAATATGTTTACATTGGTTAAGCCTGAAGCATCCCTGTGAGAGAAGGGCATTTCAAGCAAACTTGACTGGATTCACTTAACCAGAAATAATAAATTTCACTCTCTTTTACATTTGCACATGGTACATTAAAATGTGCATTTTTGTTTTTTATTTTATCTTTTTAACGTTAACAAGGGCATGTTATTGGGTCATATCATTTAGTCCTCCTGAAGCAGAACACATTCGTCTATAGTTACCTTTCTTCATACTGAAGATTACTGTAGCTGTCTGATATAACTCATACTAATATTTAAACCTCTTGTGATTAGTGGTTGGGGTTGGATGTAATAACACTAATGATCCATCTGTGTTTTCTTAATGTAAACATTGTTATAGTAGTAAACAATCATCAGTCGTTGACAATTAAAATATAGCACATGTTGAACTTTTAATCATCACTTTTAATCATCACTGTATCACGTTTATTATATTTTGAATTCAACATGTTGTACACCAAATTATCCAGTTTAAGACATTTTGCAGATGACAGCTGAAATGAATTCCTTTACCAAACCAAATCTGTAATTGATCTACTCAAAACAACCTCTAAATTTAGAAAGTGACGTGGCAAACCTCTGTCAACTTGAAGGGAGAACCTAATGTAGTGAATGTTTAACCATGCTGCATTTAACTCATGGGAGCCTCTAGTGACAGATGGGAGTGCTCCACGAAACCTCCATCAGTTAATGGGTGACTTCTCTAGCTTCTTGTCCCTGCATTTGCATGACACACAGCAGTCCAAAGTATAGGTGCAGATATGTGCGCTCTCACTGATGTTGTGCTCTTTGCCTTCTGCGCGCTAGCTCGCATGGACTACGTCTGTTGATTTCAATTTTGGAAACAACTGAAGCAAAATCCACAACATTTCACTGTGTACTCGTAAAGACTGCTTAGAAAAGCAAATGGCGAAATTCTAAAGTTTGTTTGGCTTCTGTTTTTTTTTTTTTCCTGAATTTTATGAGTTTTGGCTAAAGAAGTCGTTCAGCATGACCTTTCTCGTGGCTAAAACTGCAGTTTCACTGGCCAGCTGCTGGTCTGTTTGACCATCACGAAGCAATATTAACAAGATGTGACTCCTCTTTTCCAAAAGCTGTCCTTTTGATATTCCTAACCCTTACACCAGACTGAATGGCAATAGGATTTGGTTTTGTTTCACTGTGGTAAATCCTCCTCTAAGTTTGGGGAAAAAACACCAACCATGTGAAAAGTGAAAAACATTTGAAGTAACTTTTACTAGCAACCTCGCTAGTCCTCTAGATTATTGTCGAGAAAGATCAAGATTTATAAAACGAGATGTTTTATTTGTGTACAATCAATGTTTTCTAGGCTGAGCTGGTGTATTGTACTGTATGGATGATTGCAGACAAAATATTTATGATAAATGAAGTGGTGTAATGGATTGATGTGATATTTTGCCTTCATTCCTCACTCACACCTGAACAGTCCTACCCCACCCCAAGGGAACTAAAATTAAAAGTACACATTTTCAAAAGCTTTGTCTTCATTTTATTCTGTTTTGTGTTGCACTAAGAGTGTGTGTGCATTTGTTTACTTCCTGAAAGTAGATGAAGAAGTAACTCTGGAATTGGCTGAATAAACTTTAGTCTTATAATTAACCAGGTATTCAGGAAGTATCTTAACCATCATTTGTTCAAATTGCTCTACAGTTGGATTCTTTCTCAGAGAAACTAAACTAAACTACTGTGCAAGTCGTGATCCACCTATCATTTCTCTATTTTACTATGAAATGTGGAGATGGGTATAGCAAATTATTGAAAGTTAGAATTACAGGCACCCTTCCACTGACACCATTTCTGATGAGGCTTTGGCAGAGGGCACTGAAGGGCCGGATGTATCTTGAGGATCTTGCAGCTCCTGTGGGATGTTGCACAGGACCCTGAAGCTCCCAGGCTTCTGGTAGAGGACCTGAGCTTGAATTATTATTTTTTATACATAATATATAATCTTTTTTTTTAAAGAGATGACACTTGTTTACGTTTCTTTTTTTTAAAGAACACACTGCACACCATGATATAGGTCAAGTTTTTGGTTCATAACTCTTAATGGGGGTTTTTTAGTCCCAGTTTTATGTGTAAAACTGTTAATTTTGGTATTTTTTTGTAGATTCGTCTAAAGAACTGAGAATAAATGTGCTTTTGTGACCAACTGCTAGTAAAGTGTACAGAGTACATTTTAAAAATCATTATTTGCCAAGTGTTCTGTTAAGGCTTGGCTAGAATGGGCCCAGCAAATGCTCCAATTTAGATGATTTTGCAAAATGTGAAAGAGGACTTTTAACTGTTACAAGTTCTGTTTTTCCTACTGATAAAGACCATGACTGTTCATACTACACCAAAGTCATTAAGTGATGTTTTACACATTTCCAATTTAAGCCAAAAGAGTCAAGCTGACAGACTCGTTACTACAGTATCATTTTTTTTTATCATGTGGAAAAAGTCAGACACTATGTCTGAATTGTGCTTCTTTTTCTTATAGTATTGATTGATTAGATGGTTAGTTAAAATTATGTATACTTACAGAAAGGGGAATTTCACTGGTCCAGCCCACATCAGATCAAAGTGGGTTGACATCTGTGGTGTAGACAACGTGATCCCTTGGTTTGGTCCCTTTTTAATGCTTGAATGATACAGAGGTCAGTGTTGAGTGGCTTAACAAGAACTGGACTGAATATAATTGAAAAAGCAGCCAATGTCTAAAACAAAACTTTGAAAAACCTTCAGAAAGTCTGGAAAACATTTTGTCAAGTTCATTTTAAAACATCTGAAGAAAGTCTGGCTCCTTAGAAGTAAAATATAAAGAAATAAGGGGTGGCTCAAGACATTTGAACAGTACTGTATATCATTCATGATGTCAATGTATATAACACATCCTACAATTAACCTTACTGTTAGAAATAGTCTGGCCTTGTTGATCACCAACTCCTACCTATGTCCTTTACCTATTCCCAGTGGGCGTTCCCACATGGAAATTGGCTTGTATTTGATTGGTGGAGGAGCTTCCCGCACCTGTGACTGCTGTTTGTCAGACTGCCTGCGTTCAGCCAAGGAACGAGGTCAAAACGGAGTGACGATTATAAAACAGAGTATTTAAAAAAAATCCAAAAAAAAAAAAAAATCACGGTGAGTAAAAATGAAAGGGATGGCTATGATACAGTTAAAGAGCATTTTTGTAAACATGTACGTCCATAAATAAGTTAACTGCGACTTTCATTGAATTCAACATCATTAATGTATTTTTTGAATTAGCTTTGATGGTGGTGATTTGGTTATCTAACATTGGCTGGTTTGTAAAAGCATTAAAAAGCAGCTGTTTTCTCCTGACCACCTACGTAATGCCTAATGAAAAAAACATGTTTAATAAATGCACTTAACCTGTTTTAATACAGTTCTTCTTGGCGTTTGAAGCAATTAGGCTACCCATCTTCTCTTGCCTCTCCACAGAAGGGCGTTCCCTACTGTGGGGGGAAAATGAGTTGAATTTTAATTGGTGGAGACACCTGCACCTGGGACAGCTGTTCGTGATACACGCTGCTGAGTATGTCCGAGCACGCGGCAGGATCACGTCAGAGGATTTGTTTAACAGCGGCGTTTTAAAAGCAAAAGGTGAGTTAAATTAATGATTTCTTTTTCACATAATGTAGAGTTCCGTTACAGTGCCTCTCTCTTTCATCAAGCTGCCTTTTGTGACTAAGACTTAGTCTGATGTGTTAACGGCAAGCTGTTGGCAATTTTTACACTGTTTGCAGCTTACTTTTAGTCGCTTAGTTGCCAAGTGCGACTCTGGAAATTGTCAGAGTGGCTTTTCGCTTGTGACAGCTTTTATATTCGACGGCTGAATGGCCTTTTGCCACTACCAGGTAAGCATTATAGTTAATTGCCGTTAAATCTGTTACATCTTCCGCTTTTTTCTTTCTTTTAAATGAGAAATAGTCCGCTTTTGCCCACTGATATTTGGTGTTGCGTGTTAGTGAGTTAGTTTGATAATTAAGGACAATATTTTATACATGAAGCAAAGGTTTATTGGACAGAATTTCTTTGATATTTTGCATATTATATTATATATTTTGAATCACCAATTGACCCTCTCTCTCATATATGAAATTATATTTTCCATCAGGTCTGAGTTGTCTGCTGACACTTCCATCATCTCTGGATTAGAGACAAACAGATGGAGGGAGTGCTGATTTTTAAATCGGCTTCTCTTCCCAACTGTTCACCTCCAGACTCGTCTTCTCTTCCTCTGTCAGCGCCTTCTGAGCCTCCTGCCATGCATGTCACAACTGTATCTCCAGTACCCCCTCCGCCTCCGCCACCACCACCCCCTCCGCCACCTCCCCCACCTGTCCATTCCTCTTCTTTCGGGTCTCGCAACATTCAGAGACGTTCCATGAAAAAGCTGAACTGGGATACTATTCCCAGCCAGCGTGTCCTGGGCAAACTGAATGTGTGGACATCTAGTCGGCCCCAGAGGGACCTGGTGCTTGATATTCGGAGCATGGAGGAATTGTTCAGTCACGTAGACAAACGGGCCTCACTGTGCACTTCAACAAACCTGAAGAAATGTGATGGCACAGATCACCTTCCACAGGAGCCTCAGGTAAAGGGTTCATTGTACCTGAAGCAGATGCTCTAAATTATTATGGCCACAAAACACAGAAGGAACAAGCAAGGGAAGTGATAAACAGACATGGGAAGTAATTTTAGAAAAGTTCCACGCTAATCAAGTCCTGAGGGCAGAAGTGAAACTGTTCTGAAAGCATTTCAGCTTCCTCCAAAACTATTTTGCCTTGTAGTATAGATTATCCACTTTTCCTCTTATCTAAATACGTATTTTGTTTTTACATTTGTGTGTGACGTTGTTGTCTTTAGGTCACAATTCTCGACTCCAAAAGAAGTATGAATATCGGAATCTTCCTGAGGCATTTTAAGAGGTAATGATGCTGCTGAAGTGTAGCGACGCATGATACCAGTGATGAAAAGAACTGCTTAAAAGTAAAAGAACATGATTAAAATGGCAGTGAAAGAGCACTGCAGTGCACCATTTGAAGACAATAACACAACAAGAACTAAATTGTCTTTTAAATTGAGTAACTACAGGAAGCGCTGGTCGGGGCAGTGCTTTTAACATCAAACACAGTCAGAAATTCGGATCTTGACGCATGAGTCACTTCCGCTATGCTAATCATCTTCCAGCTGACAGGCTCTTTATCTTAGTTAACCATATGTAAATAAATGGAAATAAAATGTTAACCTTCAATGAAAGGTGTTAGCACTAACAGTAAGGGCAATGCCTTTTTAAAAACTTTTATGACACACTTTAATATCTAAATTAGAGGGAAGCATACTGCAAAGTAAGTGAGGCTCAACAGAGATGAGGGAACACGCTCGATGTGTTTGCTATGAGGGATTATCATCGTACTCGCCTTCACACAGTTCCTCTTTAACAACTCATTAAGTTTCTGTTCTGTGTTGCTGGGTGAGCTGTGTCATTGTGTGACAGCTGATTTTTGGGGCCCTCTGAGCAGTGATGAGTCGCCTTTTTGTTTTTGCACATGTACCTTTGTTTCCGAAATTATCACGCTGGCTAGCAGTTGGTGTCGGTTTGCTTCATATCAAGATGGTTGTCACCTTCAGTCCAAAGTTCAATTGGCTCTCACTTTGAATAACAAATTACCGCTCAATGTCTGTCGGCAGCTAAAAGCTGTAATGTCGTCAGCGTTACCATCTCAGTCAAATTAAAAGGGTTTCTGCTTTTGCCTGGTAGTGACTTCATAAAGCTATTTGTATGTTGTCATTTACTGCTATTGCACGTATACTATTAAGCTCGCTGTAAAATCAGAAATTTGTCACATACAACTTTTTGACTACAAAACTTCCTGAATTCACAGTTTTAGTATTTCTATCAGTTATGATCTACTGTTAGGACCTGAAGTATTTGAACAATTTTTATTTTTACTCCTAAATTGTGGATAAAAATGTTTGTATGGATGGAAGTGAATCATCCAAAATGGTTAACATTGGTGCTCCTCGCCATCAAACATGAATGCATTATCTTTATCAAACTCTTGAATTTAAGCTAAAAGTGTGTACTTTGCTCACATCCTTAGTGCTTTATTTATTATTATGTATTTTTTTCTTCTTCCTTCTCATTGGTTTTTAGTTTCAGTTGGTTTCCACACTGGGGGGTTTGGTTAAGTTTTTCTATGGTTTAAAAATGTTTAGCTTTTGTTAGTTTCACTGTTAGTTTTTTATTCACCAAGATTTAGGAAAATTAGTTACAGGTATTACAATGCAGACTTTCAAAAGCAGATGATTCTCAGTGTCAGACATCCAGTCTTGTCCCCCCAAAACCTTGGTCTTTATATTTGAACTACATTGTTGTTTGTTTATTTATTTGTTTATTTTTTCAGTTTTAGTTTTTAAAACCTTAGCGATGCGACGAGGCTAAAGCTGAAAAGCTGTCAATGTCCAAATATTTTTGGGCCTAACTGTGTCTCTTGGTTACACTTGAAGGGTTTACAACCAGTGCTACTGTAGAAGAAACTTCTCACCAGCAGTGTGGATAACTGAGGGAAGCGAGTCTTTGTGGCTTTCACGTTGTCTTGAGATAAATGTAAACTAGTGGCAGCATGGAAAATGGAAAACTGCGATAACTCTACAGCACTGTATTTAATCGGTCACGCTGATATGGCGAGAACTGAGTTAGATAATCTTCTTGTGACTGCTGTCTTTTTGTCTCCCTCCACAGGCCTGTGACAGAAATTGTGCAGGACATTTATCAAGGGAACTGGCTCCGGTTTGGAAATGGGAAGTTGAAAGAGCTTTGTAAGCTGCTGCCAGAGGAAAGTGAGGTAACAGCAGCTCCCACCATTGCTTCCCTCTTTTGTTTTTTTTAGCTTTGGTCACCTGTGCATAATATTAACTTAATGATTATTTAAAGTATTTTTACATAAGCACTGCCAGACTGAGTAGCCTTCTGAAATGTTTTTCTTTGAGACAGTTAATTTATTAAAATATAATTTTGTGACAGTGTATATGTATGTTCATTATCAGATGCATTTTATTTGGCCATTCCAAATAATTTTGTCTTGTAATCTCTCCAACTGGCATGAATATTATCCTTGTTTACTGACACTCGTGTCAATGCACAGGTCAAACTGCTGATGTCGTTCAGTGGAAACCTTTCTGTTTTGGCTGAGGCTGACCAGTTTATGGTCCAGCTGGTCAAAGTACCATGGTGCGTATGGAGTTTTCTAAAGCAGGGTTTTCAGTACTTATTTATTTTTGTCCTTTTTGGGGTGGTGTAACTCACACATTTGTGAAATATTTGAATGCATATTAAATAAATGTTGCTTGAGATCTCAGATAAGCTTTGTTTGAAATATTTAACAATTTGCCAAATACCAGCTCTTTGATTCATAGTCGTGCTGACAGTTTAAACATAAACCGTATTGTTTGTCTTTTGTATGATGTCGTTTTATAATTCTGCCAATTTTCCATAAGTCTAATTTTGAAGTGTTCACTTTAAAATGTTTCTCCACACTCAACAATGGGTTTAGAAAAACACAATGACAACAGCTAATGCAGTTATTTGTTTCTTGCCTTTAGCTATGAGGAACGGTTAAAAATGATGGTGCTAAGGGAGGAATTTTTTCCTCTAATGGAGGAGGTGAAAAACTCAGTTGGCGTCATGTTCAAAGCAGCTAATGGTAATGCTTTACACACATCCATTGAGCTGACATATCAAGTTCTACTAGAATTACACGACCTGTCTATTTTGATGGTTAAATGAAGTTTTCTTCCGCATTATTTTCTCAGAACTGTTGGACTGTGATGACCTCCACTCGGTCATTCGGCTGGTATTAAAAGCCGGGAACTACATGAACGCTGTTGGTATTTTTCTACACTGTTACACATTTAAGCTATATATATTTATTTATTTTCCCCAGGTCTTCATAGCTATTTTACTTATTGTTCATTTATTATTTAGGGTGGTCACAATTCCAATGTTATTGGCTTTAGGATGACCTCTCTGCTTAAGCTGGCAGACACAAAGGCCAACAAGCCAGGCATGAACCTCATGCACTACGTTGCCAAGGTGAGGAGGATCCTTGAAATGGAGGGATTCACATTTTGATTAAATCACAATGAATGAATTTTGGGAAGATCTTTTGCTTATCTAAAAAGCCTTTAACTCTCACTAGTCAGCCCAGTTGACTGATGTTCTGTCATCCTCAGATCTAAACTTTTATTTAACAAATTTATCCTGCAGCATTATTTTTGTTTCTTACTCCTTATCTCTCACCCACAGCAAGCAGAATACATTGATTCTGAGTTACTGACCTTTCCCAACCAGCTTGAACATATTGGGATGGCATCAAGGTGGTTATCACTTCATATCATGTCATTTCATTGTCAGTTTAATTGCTGTCACATCATTTGTTTATAGAAAATCGGTGAATAGTTCTGCACTGACGATGTCACTTTTTTTCCCACAAATGTGCAAAT